TGGCGAATGGTCTCTAGCTTATGGCACGCTTGGACCCTACATGGAGCCGTGTCGATGTTCAACAGCCTGCCATGCTCTGCTGACCTTGGGACTTAGAATGGACTTGAACTAATGCCCTGCTGCATGGGTTGGTAACATCCGGACTGTGTCTTTTTACTTGTCAACCTTGGGTTTGTCAGCCTCAGCAGCCAACAGCTGAGTGAAGAAAAGCCTCCAGCTTCAGTGGGCCAGGAATAGGAGGCAGAGCTGCAACCCAAGGTTGAGGGGCTTTCACGTAGTCCCTAGAGCCTGGCACTTTGAATTCGGACTTAAAGAGAATAAACTCCTGCTTGTTAAGGCCATCCCATTGGTGGTATATTCTTGTCAGAGCGGCACTAGGGAACCAGAACGCTAAGTCAGTTGCAATATTTGCTGAAGAAGTAGAGCAAACTCTAAAACAGGAGTCCCAGCCTGCGAAGAAGGAAGACAAAGAAGGAAAACGGGAGCAAATGTGCAGTTTCGCATTTTCTACATGCTGAGCTTTAGCCTAGAAACACCTACTAAACACAACAACATGGATGAAATCACTCAGCACAAAGTGGACAATTCCTGAGTCCAACAACAAGCAGGAAAGCACTATCTGGGAGTAAGAGCAGCCAACCTCAAAGCAATCCCCGAAGAACTCTTAGAAGTGGCCCCCCGCCCCCAGAACATAAGAAAACACCAGGACCAGTCATCTGCACTCATACAGCAGTGAGGATCATTTAGGAAAGCTTAATTGTCAATTACTGATGCCAGCACTTGCTAGCTCTATTTTCCGAGTGCATAATTTATAGAGAAGGCAGTTGTCCAGCTGCCGTTGGTACAAGCAGCCATCTCAAGCCATTTATGGGTCACTTACCTTTGAACCTTGATGAAATATGTTCTCTACATATTAAAAAAACAAAAAACCCAATGCTACTGAGTCAATTCTGACTCATAGCAACCCTATAGGACAGAGTAGAACTGTCTCATAGGGTTTCCAAGGCTGCACATCTTTACGGAAGTAGCCGGCTTCATCTTCCTCTTCCAGAGCAGACGGCAGGTTCGAACCACTGACCTTTTTTTTGACTTTTTGGTTAGTGTCTTACCCACTGCACCACCCATTTTTTATATAGTTGGTGAAATCAGAAAAGCTAAAGATTTTAATTAAAGAGTGGCTTGGGCAAATCATCAGTAAAGAAGGAGAGAAGGGCTGTGGTGTCTACGGTTATACAAGCTGAGTTCAGTGTAGGAAATACTGAGTTTCCAATCCTGTGAGCAGTCATCTAAGGGACATGGGCAACGAAATTCACAGATTACTGGAGGACAGGTGGGAGTGGGTGAGCCTAGAAGGAGAGAAGGACTAATGACTTGGGGGCTAAGGGATTAAATAAGTTGACAGCATTCTACTGGAAATGTCTTTTTTGTCATAATATTAAAAGAAAAAAAGTTATCAAGATGACCCATGTCACTTTAGTTTTGTGTATTTCACTGCACATAAATTATATTTCAATAAAATGTATTTTAAAAATTTGTTTTAAAAAGTTATCAAGAAAGATGTGGAGAGATCATGACAGTTTTGCCTTACATTAAAAATAAAGAGTACACATATCAAAAGTCTAAAATTCAGGTCACTAAATCA